AAATAGTAGCTATGGTAATTATTGCTATTGCCAAATAAAATTTTGATGCATGCTGGTTATGTCATTTTGCAATTTTAATGTCAATTTACTGGGTCCCTGGGAGGGGGGAGGGATATTCCAGATTTGAAGTGATGGGAAGGTACAATTTATAACAAATCAATACTTAAGATAATCCTTAGGGCTTCAGACAAAACCCAAATGAATTCCCTGTTCTAGAATTAAGCCCACAAAACATCCTATGCTGAGGTTTTACATCATCTTTGTGAACATCCTGAAAAATCCCTCTGATTGTCTTAACCAAAAAATCCTGAAAACATGAATTTGACACTCCCCCAAATCAGTTTTAATTTTAAACACCTTCCCATTTAAATCTGAAGTGATGAGTCCCTCCATCCCACCCCTGGGTGCATTTCTAATTGTATACATACATCTTAATAATGGCATAATATAAATATTTTCAAGACGTATGACAAATATGCAAAGAGAGAGCACGCATAAAACACTTCAATTTGAGTGGGCATTGCACTGGTAACAGGAAGGCACCTTTTTTATAAATATTATTATAAAACAATGGTACAAAGTAACTGTTCTTTAGTTAAACAAGTCTGTAAAAAGGCAATTCAGCAATAAAAACATTCTTCTGTTTCACTTGGTTATAACAAAGTTTCTGGTATATATTGCTTTCTGAAATAAGTTGCGAAAATGCAAAATACAGGGCTTGGCCATTATGCCATTGTAATCTACTTCAAAATCTAGCCCTCAACAAATCATTAAAAAAAGTTATGTTTTACAAACCAAATGATAGGAAGAAATGAGAAAAACAAATTGACTTGTTGCTTATAATCTCATAGGCTGTGGTAAGTTGGCCAAGTTGGGTAGCTATCTGCCTCATCGCCCCTGGGTTGTTGATACATTTCACTTGATGCAAGGAGACTGTAGTTTGGAACTCTTTCAGTACCAGCCATGACTGAACCTGTGGGCTGATGGTACATATGACTTGGCCCTGGGGAATTCAGTGTAGGAAGATTATTCGTCGACATGCCTTGACTTTGAGCAGTGAAATAAGGGGTAAATGCTTGACTCCCAGTACCAGACATAAACAATTGAAAGAGTCGCATTTCATGCTCTCTGGCTCGTTCATTTTCTTCCTGAAAAAATTTCCGAAGGTCAGCAGTAGTGTCCTGTTGGGACACATCTCTCAGAACCTCGACCACAGATGTCAGAACGTCTTCCTTCTTTTTCTTTTCCTTGGATCTTTTTCTGGGGACAAAAAGCTTTTTGCCTTCGTCCTCTGGGCTGGTTTCAGTACTCACCGAACTCGAGGCATTGCGACTGGAGGAAGGTTCCTCTGCAAGCTCTGGGTTGCAAGAATCTCTTGACTGCACCAAGGAAAATAACTGGTCGAACCATGGCCCATAACCACGTTCTTCTTGGATTCTTTTAACACCAGTAGCAGTCTTGATAGTCAGCGCAAGTTTTTTGCACTCGGCTATACAACGTTTAAATTTTGTTCGCATTTGTCCAGTCGAGTAGGGAAAATTACTCGAGCCTGTGTATCGCTTCTCGACTTCCTTCTGCACTTTGCAATACACTTCGTTGTTTTTGGTGTTTTTGGAGTTGGTGAAAATAAGCTTCCTAGCAAAGTTGTCGTTGGAGCAAATAACATCTACCATGTCGGCAACGTGACTGTCATGCCACTACGCTTTTCTGCCTGGTCTCTTCTTCTTTTTTTCCGGCGGGACCAGATTTTCCTCATTCTCAGAAAAAGAGCTTTCTTCTTCTGAATCTGACGTTTGCCGCGCACAACTCGCTCTCCATGACGCCATCTTGGATTGCCAGCCTCAGTCTACGCATGCTCAATACATTAACATAATGTATGCATTAGATTCGACACGGCAGAAATTCGACGTTTGAATCGGTGTCGCATCTCTGCCGGATAATGCNATTTCTGCCGTGTCGAATTCAATTCAATTAAGTGCGGCAGAAATGCGACTGCTGATTCATACGTCGAATTTCTGCCGAACTTAATTCATTGAATTGATACATCCGTGTATGTCGGTCAGCGGAAAAATGTTACAAAGGTTACGTAACTATCCAATATGGCGGACCAAGATACTCAACGGAGGCTTTTTATTTTGCGAAAAATTATTGAAGTAAGGCGAAGGAGGAGGCTGTCAATGCAACAGTATATGCTGCATTGTCTTCAGCAAAAGCATAGGTTAATAATTCAACTTTTGCTGTTGATTGTGCTCATTTTGTCCCGTGAAAATGCAACACGAGTTTACCGGTCCTGTCGCCGACTGCCAAGAAGTACAGGTTGGTGGGATATTGTTTGGCACCAGTACTCGGATGCTAGGTTTAAAAAGTTGTTCAGAGTGTCAAGAGCAACGTTCCTGTTTATTCTCAGTCGTATCGAAGATGACCTAGAACGAGAAACAGTCACTGAAGAACCTATATCAACAGCTTTCCGGTTAGCAATCTGTTTGTACCGCCTTGGTAGAGGAGACTATTACTACACCATTGCGGAGATGACTGGTCTGGGAGTGTCAACCGTATGCGGTGTAGTGAGTGAAGTGTGCAGGGCAATTGTTGATAATTTATGGGAAGACTGCGTGCAACAACATTTCCCAACAACTGAAGCACAGTACAAGGAGAAGGTTTTAGACATGGAGCAAATGTGGCAGTTTCCATATGCCTGGGGCGCAATCGATGGATGTCATTTGCCTTTAAAGTGTCCTGCTGGTGGTGCAGAATCGCGAAAAGAATACCATAACTTTAAAACTTTTATTCGATTGTACTTATGGCTATTGTTGATGCTAAATATAGATTCATTTGGGCTAGTTGCGGGTTCCCAGGGAATTCTCATGACTCTATAATTTTTCAGTCTACTGAACTTTGGGAAGATATTACAGAGAGAGAGATAATACCCAGTTTAGGTAGAAATGTTAATGGAGTAACTGTCTCACCTGTTATCCTGGGAGACTCTGCTTTTCCATTTAGAACATGGTTAATGAAACCATTTACAAATGCTGTACTTACTCCCCAACAACGGTATTTCAACTATAGGTTAAGTAGAGGGCGAATGGTGACAGAAGGAGCATACGGGCAACTTAAAGGCAGGTGGAGAGTTCTTCTTAGAAAATGTGAAAGCAGACCAGAGGAGGTCAGATTGGCTTCATTAGCCTGCATTGTTCTCCATAATGTTTGTCTTGACAGAGGTGACACTATTTCAAAAAAGCTTGATCTGACAAGAGATCCTTCCACAGGAGAATTAAGGGATAGAGCAACAATACGAAGACTTCTCCAAATGAGGAACTGCCCAAAGATAAGGGACACTTGCCCACAGGCAACCCGCATTCGAAATGCTCTTGAAGAAAAGTTTTGGAGAGAGCAAGAGGGACATGGGGTATGTTAGATGTTTCTTGCCGATATAAAGTTGTTCAACACATTTTAACCCCAGAATTGCTCAACTAGGATAGTTAATTATGTTTGGACACAAAAAAGCCATTTTTGTTCAACTTGAATCTGTCTCTTTTGTTCATTGTTATTTACACTGATTACCTGTTAAAGGCTTTAACGCTGTTCTTCCTCGGCAGTCATCTATTGTTTTTATTTGGCCTGGATCTTTTAAAGTAATTAATGACATCAAGTTTTTGTTTTGGTTTAATGGCAGCAAAGTTATGGGATCTCTCAAATTTGAGATATTTACTTGGAGCAAAACTTGCCAGCCTTCAGCTTTCATGTTATTGAGGAAAATAGTTTAAGTTTATTTTTTAATTTCAACCAATGTTAGAATGTTGAATGGGTGCAATAAATTTATTCCATTTTCATATCCCCTTAGAAATGGACCATATTGGTATTCTCGGTACTGGATTGGAACTCGTGAGCCTGTTGCAAGCTAGTTCCAGTCCAATACCTTTAATACAAATGTGGCCTATTTTCTTATACCTTTGTAATGAAGAAGGTTTTTTGGAAAATTTTAAGGGGCAACAAAGAAAAATGTTTATTTTTTTCACTCCCAAGTACTTTGACAGCTTCTAAAGATTAATCTTGCTGACTGCATGATAATAAATAGTAGCTATGGTAATTATTGCTATTGCCAAATAAAATTTTGATGCATGCTGGTTATGTCATTTTGCAATTTTAATGTCAATTTACTGGGTCCCTGGGAGGGGGGAGGGATATTCCAGATTTGAAGTGATGGGAAGGTACAATTTATAACAAATCAATACTTAAGATAATCCTTAGGGCTTCAGACAAAACCCAAATGAATTCCCTGTTCTAGAATTAAGCCCACAAAACATCCTATGCTGAGGTTTTACATCATCTTTGTGAACATCCTGAAAAATCCCTCTGATTGTCTTAACCAAAAAATCCTGAAAACATGAATTTGACACTCCCCCAAATCAGTTTTAATTTTAAACACCTTCCCATTTAAATCTGAAGTGATGAGTCCCTCCATCCCACCCCTGGGTGCATTTCTAATTGTATACATACATCTTAATAATGGCATAATATAAATATTTTCAAGACGTATGACAAATATGCAAAGAGAGAGCACGCATAAAACACTTCAATTTGAGTGGGCATTGCACTGGTAACAGGAAGGCACCTTTTTTATAAATATTATTATAAAACAATGGTACAAAGTAACTGTTCTTTAGTTAAACAAGTCTGTAAAAAGGCAATTCAGCAATAAAAACATTCTTCTGTTTCACTTGGTTATAACAAAGTTTCTGGTATATATTGCTTTCTGAAATAAGTTGCGAAAATGCAAAATACAGGGCTTGGCCATTATGCCATTGTAATCTACTTCAAAATCTAGCCCTCAACAAATCATTAAAAAAAGTTATGTTTTACAAACCAAATGATAGGAAGAAATGAGAAAAACAAATTGACTTGTTGCTTATAATCTCATAGGCTGTGGTAAGTTGGCCAAGTTGGGTAGCTATCTGCCTCATCGCCCCTGGGTTGTTGATACATTTCACTTGATGCAAGGAGACTGTAGTTTGGAACTCTTTCAGTACCAGCCATGACTGAACCTGTGGGCTGATGGTACATATGACTTGGCCCTGGGGAATTCAGTGTAGGAAGATTATTCGTCGACATGCCTTGACTTTGAGCAGTGAAATAAGGGGTAAATGCTTGACTCCCAGTACCAGACATAAACAATTGAAAGAGTCGCATTTCATGCTCTCTGGCTCGTTCATTTTCTTCCTGAAAAAATTTCCGAAGGTCAGCAGTAGTGTCCTGTTGGGACACATCTCTCAGAACCTCGACCACAGATGTCAGAACGTCTTCCTTCTTTTTCTTTTCCTTGGATCTTTTTCTGGGGACAAAAAGCTTTTTGCCTTCGTCCTCTGGGCTGGTTTCAGTACTCACCGAACTCGAGGCATTGCGACTGGAGGAAGGTTCCTCTGCAAGCTCTGGGTTGCAAGAATCTCTTGACTGCACCAAGGAAAATAACTGGTCGAACCATGGCCCATAACCACGTTCTTCTTGGATTCTTTTAACACCAGTAGCAGTCTTGATAGTCAGCGCAAGTTTTTTGCACTCGGCTATACAACGTTTAAATTTTGTTCGCATTTGTCCAGTCGAGTAGGGAAAATTACTCGAGCCTGTGTATCGCTTCTCGACTTCCTTCTGCACTTTGCAATACACTTCGTTGTTTTTGGTGTTTTTGGAGTTGGTGAAAATAAGCTTCCTAGCAAAGTTGTCGTTGGAGCAAATAACATCTACCATGTCGGCAACGTGACTGTCATGCCACTACGCTTTTCTGCCTGGTCTCTTCTTCTTTTTTTCCGGCGGGACCAGATTTTCCTCATTCTCAGAAAAAGAGCTTTCTTCTTCTGAATCTGACGTTTGCCGCGCACAACTCGCTCTCCATGACGCCATCTTGGATTGCCAGCCTCAGTCTACGCATGCTCAATACATTAACATAATGTATGCATTAGATTCGACACGGCAGAAATTCGACGTTTGAATCGGTGTCGCATCTCTGCCGGATAATGCGACAAGCCCAGTCGAACGTGCGGCAGAAATGCGGCAGCCGATTCAGACGTCGAATTTCTGCCGCACTTAATTCGTTGAATTGAATTCGACACGGCAGAAATGCGACGTATGAACCGGGCCTTAGACGCATGTGTGGGCCTTCCGATAGCAAAACGAGTGCGAGATAGAATACTAGCTAGCGCGACTGTCGAAATTCATTCCAAACGTTCCTCAACAAATAGATCTCACTACTCTCTGTTACTCACGAGTTGACCAGGAGACTATCGACATAGGACTGCTCACCGCCTGAAAACAAAGCACCAGGTTTTTAAAGTCGTAGTCGGCGAACTCGCATTTAGTCTGGTACTTCTTGCCTCTTTCTATTGTATCAAGAGATTTCAAGTGGAACGGTGTAATTGCATTTGAATAAGCTTGTTTTTGAATAAATTTGCCTTTCAGTTTTGGAATTTTGTCTATATTTCCGGCATTTTAAGTTAGAATTGTGGAGGGAGATGAAAACCGGTTTTGAAGAATTCATTTTTTTCACAATTCCCAAGCTACGGCGTTCAAGGCATAAAACAGATCAAATTATCGACATGATCTCATAGCCTGTAAATTGCAATTTTTCACTAGGATAGTATGTATCAAAGTTCTCAAAAAGTTCTTTTAGTTATGTCTTCACATTACATCTTAGGTAGTCTGGTATTTTCAACTTTGTGGAAATAATTCTTAGGACTTTGTGCAGGAGTAATCAAGTTCAGATATTTAGCTACGTGATACGATAAAAAAAAAAAACAACAAAGACTAGCCTAAGGGATATACCGGTGTTTAGTGGCGATCGCTATGGTTACAACGGCGTGATTGGAAAAATTGAAAGTTAAATAAATCATCCTTTGCCCTCACTTCGCTTTCGCATGTGTTCCTGAGTGCAACCCGTAAGTTTTTTTTTTATTTCCTCCTCAACTAAATCTCACAAGCAATCTAAAATTCCATTTTCTGATTATTTTCTCGTCAGCAGAGTCTGCAGTGAAATTTTTTGGAAGGTATCTTGAAAACGACCACGTTTGCAACGAGTGGCAACATGGCAACATTTTATCTCATCGCGAAATTGATGATGCTTCAAGTATTGGTATTCTCGTATGGTAAGTCAGAAACGTATTGATTTCTATCTATTTTGTTTCGGCCGTCTTTCGGTAATGATAAGCACTGTGGAGTAATTAAAAGAAGCCTTCAGTGAAAAAGCAGCGTAGAAAAGTGCATTGTTCTTTGCAAGTTGAATATTCATAGTGATAGTGTAGACAGCCGATCAATGCCACACTTAAACAAGACAAAACGCACCTTTCTGTTCGCATGGTTACAAGTAAAGCACACGTTACTCACCCTAAGCATTCCTAAGAAAGGCGGGAATGGGATTTAGGGTTTCGCTTAGTTGCTTATGGATTAGTTTATTATTTGCTGTTCTGGGATAGCTCGAATGCTGATACCTCCGCAGATTGAACACTTTAAAAAGAAGTCCAGACCAATGTTATTTTAGTAGATGTGCCGGTCGTCTGTTTAGAGCCTGAGAGAGAAACACTGTAATGGTTGGCTACAATTTCCAGCTCGTGTGTATATGATTTACTACGACAGTTCCGCCATCCAAGAGCTGATTTTAAGAACAACTCGAAACAGTTTCCCACTGAGCCCAGCTTACAATTATATCATTGTGAATGACACTTCAAGAGTTATGATCTGAGTCTTTCTGTTTGACCAAAACTTGCAGTTTGCCGGCCATAAAACAGTTGCTTGAAAGAATACTCTATACTTCTGCAATTGCAAAATACACTGGAAATTACACAATGAAGGCATAGACCATGTACAACGCAACTGATTTATTTATTCCTGAATTTATTCTGAATAAGGTTATGCTCGTTAAATCTCGGACAATATTTACATTCGCGGACAAAATGTGATCAGCTCGTTTCAATAGATCAGAAAATTGTAGCATCTGCTAGATCTCTTGTAGATACGTTGCTTTCTGAAAAACAACTGAAGAATACAATGTTTATTTTAGGTTACAGTTGGTAACCAAGGAAAAGGTTAAGAGATGTGCTCCTCGGTTTACAGAAGAAGCGATGCGACACGCTTAATTTATTCACAGCTATTCAAAACAATCTTATTAACTGTCTCATTATGGAATGGACTTTTCAGCTGAATTAACCACAATCTGAAAAGTATAAATATAAACATCTATCTCGACCAGTCTGTCACGGTAAGCAAATCATATACGACATTGACCGCACAAGTCTTTTGGAAGGGCTTTCTCGACTTGTTTGAGTCGATAATTGAAATAAGTGATCACGTGAAGGTCAGACTGATCATCGTTTTCATTCTGTTTGGACTTTGTGCTCACGATCATGCACTATTCGATTCAGTCTTTAAAAAAACCAAAACCTTTTAACGAAAACATCGTCTCCGCTCGGGTAGCCAATCACTGCACAGGATTTTTTTCACCATGCCTACTCATTGAGCAACAGTAGTATCATAGCAGACTGATAATTGAATTCAGTATCAATTTAGAACCCGTAAAAATATATCTTTTGATCATCTAAACCCAGTCGTGAAGGAAAAATTAATTTTTCTCAAGTAAGGCACGATTTAAGTGTCCTTGTGAGGTATTTGGAACAGAGTGCGGCATGACACGGAGATAAGAGTTAGTGCGCGCATGTCAGATTCAAAAGGAAGTTAAAATTAAAGAAATTCATGGATGGTCTACCACAACTGGCTTATTTGTTTTGTGGATACATTATTTAACAAATAAAGAAGCTTGAGCCGTGTATTACACTGTGATAAAACACGACGGGCATTTGAGAACACTAGGGAAATGTAGAAAACACGAGCCGCAGGCGAGTGTTTTCTACATCTCTCGAGTGTTCGCAAATGTCCGGAGTGTTTAATCACAGTGTAATACACGGCTTAGGCTTCTTTATTTGTTAAATAATGTATCCACAATAAAACAATAAAACACGCTTTTTCTATGTTTTATACTCTGATAACACATGGGTTTTGACCAATCAGAGCACGCAATGTCGAATATACTGACTGATTTTACGAATGTAAAATGAAGTTTTGAAAGCTCGTGAGTTTCGGAATCATTTCTGGCTGAAACATTTTCGGTACCTAGTACTTTTTCTCTTCAGAAGTCCATGCTTGATCGTTTTGGCTTTCTGTCATTGTAAAAAACAAATGGACGCCAACTTTATGCGTCATATAATATTGTCAAAGTACAGTAAAAACCCGCTTGTAAGAACCTAGTGGTTTAAGAACCTACTGGCAGAAACTTAGCATTTCTATACGGAAAAATGTAAGAATCTGTTTAGCCAAGCAAAATGAAGTAGTTTCTTATATGTGGGTTACAGTTAATTTATGATAAACATTTGAACTAAGGAGGGTGATTTTGAGATGGCAATTTATATTACAAAAAAATATACAGTTGTTAGTAAATACTGTATATTCAAGAACCAAAGCCAAGTTTATTTATTTTTCAACATCTATATATCCTTCGTAGAAATTAAGAGCCTAATAAAAAAGCCTACTCAGCCTAAATTGCCAATAACTACCTCAAAATACAAGAACCTATTTTGCCAGACTTCAACTGAAAAACATTGTAGCTTCTTACACGCGGATTTTTACTGTAGTTTGTGGATCCACTCCGCTACGCCTCGAGTATGCATACTCTGTTACTACGCTCGTCGACTGCAGTGCGGTTTGGGAAAAAAGCTGTAAAGTTTCAGTTGCTATTGATAATGGACAAGACGGTTTCTTTTAGTGCTGTACACTGAAAATATAAATATAAATTTGCGAGAAGCTCGCGACAAGTGTACAACAAGAATTATTTCTCTTAAATCAATCCCATATAAACTTCGAATGCAGGGGTGAAGGTTTCATTTGAACGAGACATTTGCATCTTACACGTAATCTATCCCTAATTTTAGATGCATCTTCTACATCCACTTCAAGTAGCAGTGTTGTAAACGAAACAAAAAACATGCGAGACTCGTTTAGTAGCAGTGTTGTAATAAAAAAAATCATCCAAGGTTTTTTTTGGTAGCATTGTTGTAATAAAAAAACACATGCAAGACTCGTTTAGGAGCACTGAGTGTTGTAACCAAAAAAAAAAAAAAAACATGCAGGGTTCGTTTAGTACAGTGTTGTAACCCAAAAACCATGCAAGGTTCATTTAGTAGCAGTGTTGCCAGGCGGTGTTGTAACCAAAAAAAACCTTAACGACATGTAAGGTTTGTTTAGTAGCAGTGTTGTAACCAAAAAACATCCAAGGTTCTTTTGGTAGCAGTGTTGCAACCAAAACAAAAAAAAAACATCCGAGGCTCGTTTAGTAGCAGTGTTTTAACCAAAAAATAAATGCAAGGTTCATTTAGTAGCAGTGCTGTAATAATAATAATAAAAAGAAACATGCAAGGTTTGTTTAGTAGCAGTGTTGTAACCAAAAAATAAATGCAAGGTTCATTTAGTAGCAGTACTGTAATAATAATAATAATAATAATAATAATAATAATAATAATAATAATAATAAAGAAACATGCAGGGTTTGTTTAGTAACGTTGTTGTCACCAAAAAAAAAAAAAAAACATTCAAGGTTCATTTAGTAGCAGTGCTGCAACCGAAAAAAAAAAATCAAGGTTTATTTATTAGTGTTGCTGTAACCAGAAAACATGCAAGGTTCATTGAGAAGCAATATTTCAAGTGTTGCAGTGTTGTAAGATTTCTCACACGTAACCTATCCCTAACCTTAGGTGAATCTTCAAGCACCATGATGACAGAAATGTCTACCACACCCACCCAAATAACATCCACTCCAAGTAGCAGTGTTGTAGCCTCAACACCAGGTGAGACTCACTTAGTAGCAGTGTTGTAACACAAAAAAAAATGTAAGGTTTCGTTTAGTAGCAAGGTTTCAATTAGTAGCAACGCTGAATCCCAAAAAAAGCGCTATGACAACGCAAGGTTCGTTTAGTAGCACTGAGTGTTGTAACCAAAAACAAAAACATGTAAGGTTCGTTTAGTAGCAGTGTTGCTACCGAAAAAAAAAATGTAAGGTTCGTTTTGGTAGCAAAGTTGTAACCAAAAAACATGCAAAGTTCATTTTGTACCCGCGTTTTAATAGACAAAAAAACATGCAAGGTTTGTTTAATAGTAGTGTTGTAACCAAAAAACATGCAAGGTTCGTTTAGTAACAGTGTTTTCGTTGTAAATGAAAACTTGATCTACAGTCCAGATAAACACTATAAATGCAAAACAAAAAATAACGAATGCAAAACAATACCAAAACACCTAATACCTACTAATACCTACTTCTGTTTTAAGTTCCATGCAGCAATCAAAATTCTGCAAAGAAGATTTCTTACATGTAATCTATCCCTAACTTTAGATGAATCTTCAAGCACTATGATGACAGAAATGTCTACTACACCCACCCAAATGACATCCATTCCAAGTAGCAGTGTTGTAGCCTCAACACAAGGTGAGACTCACTTAGTAGCAGTGTTGTAACACACACACACAAAAAATGCAAGGTTTCGTTTAGTTGCAATGTTGAAACCAAAAAAAAGCGCTATGATGATGCAAGGTTCGTTTAGCAGCACTGCGTGTTGTAACCAAAAACAAAAACCTGCAAGGTTCATTTAGTAGCAGTGTTGTTACCAAACAAACCATGTAAGGTTCGTTTAGTAGCAAAGTTGTAACCAAAAAAACATGCAAAGTTCATTTAGTACTTGTGCTGTAATAGGAAAAAACATGAGAATTTGTTTAGTAGCAGTGTTGTATATAAAAACTGGATCTACAGTCGAGATAAATACTATAAATGCAAAACAAACAAAAAAAAACAATGAACGCAAAACAATATCGAAACACCTAATACCTACTAATACCTACTTCTGTTTTAAGTTCCATGCACCAATCCAAATTCTGCAAAGTCTAGGTATTTCGAATGAAGGTGTTCTTGTAATTTTAAGATTTCTTACACGTAATCTATCCCTAACTTTAGATGAATCTTCAAGCACTATTACAACCGTCCATCCTAGTAGCAGTGTTGTAACCAAAAAAAACATGTAAGGTTCGTTTAGTAGCACTCAGTCTGGTAAGAAAAAAAAAGGCTCGTTTAGTAGCAGTGTTGTTGCCGAAAAAAACCTGCAAGGTTAGTTTAGTAACAGAGTTGTTACAAAAACCATGCAAGGTTCGTTTAGTAGCAGTGTTGATACCGAAAAAAACCTGCAAGGTTCATTTAGTAGCAGTGTTGTAACCATAAAAGAAAAACCTGCAAAGCTCGTTTAGTAGCAGTGTTGCAACTAAAAATACAGCATTCACGGTTCACTTCGTAGCAGTGTTGTAAACAAAACAAATGTATGGTTCATTTAGTAGCAGTGTTGCAATAAAAAATATATATATATATATGCCGTTTAGTAGCAGTGTTGTAACTTTAAAAAACATTCCAGGTTCGTTTAATAGCAGTGTTGTAACCAAAAACACATGCAATTAAGGTTCGTTTAGCAGTAGTGTTGTAACCGAAAAAACATGTAAGGTTCGTTTATGGCAGTGTTGTAACCAAAACAACATGCAAGGTTCGTTTAGCAGCTGTGTTGTAACCAAAAAAAAAAAGACATCCATGGTTCGTTTATGGCAGTGTTGTATCGAAAAAAACATCCAAGGTTCGTTTAGTAGCAGTTTTGTGGCCAAAGAAAAAGACATGCAAGTTCGTTTAGTAGCAGTGTTGTAACCAAGAAAAGGAAGCAAGCACGGGAGTCTTGTTTTAAATCGTTTACTAATGATGCCAATTATCGGTAAAAGACCCTTTTGAAATATGGTTACCGCAGAAATATCCAATCAAAAGACCAAACAATTGGCACAATAGACTGATGACAAAAGCATTTTAGGAAAAGCCTGAAATTGTGATCACTAATGCTTTAAAGCTGCATGATAAGCGCAGGCGCTGACCTCCCTGCCCCCTTTTCTTTCGCCTTTAAGCGCTTAAGCACCCCCGTTTCATAAACGGAGTACAGATAAGGTTTCAAGGATAGCAATTCCTTCTTAAGGGAAATCTTACAACAAAGATTAGAGGAAGCAGTTTCCAAGCCAGGTCACTACTTTCATGTCTTCCAATTCCCTGTTGCAATACGCTAACTACATGGTAAAAACAAGTGTGACGTTAAATTTTTATTGAATAAGCAAATTAGACAAACCGATCAGTCTGCAAGGGCAAGAACTTTTTCTGATTGAAATAATATTGTTGTTTTGATTTTTGTATCATTATAATTTTTTTCTTTCCTAATTCAGGTCCAATAGTAATTCTGATGTTAACAATTACAACTAATTGCAGTGGTGACAGATTGATGACCTTAAAAGCTAGCATGCAGATCGACGTAAGTAAAAGCAAAACCGTACTTAGTTCCAAGACAATAACATGCAATCCTCGCACGTTATTACCGTTTTCAAACATTCAATTAACAATTTTGGTCTGAAATAGAGCGGCTTTTGCACAGTCACGTCTGGAAATGAGTATAGTATAGAATAGAACATTTGTCATCAATTACTATTATATTTCACTTAAATCTTTGTGTAGGGGTGTACCGCTGGGTCACTGAAACCCTTATCCTAAACTAGACCATGATCAGCTTGATTTGGCAACCCTACTCTAGACTAGGCACCAAAAATCCCTACCCTATACCAGACTAGCTATTTTCCATGCAGAAACTTTGTCACTATCGTAGCCAACATATGCTAACTAAACCAATATCTTAAAAAGTTCCCTTTACCTCCGCCTAAAACTTGAATTTCAACTGTTACTTTGCAATAGAAAGAAATCACATTACTAGCTATTTACGTGTAATACGTTTTCTTTTTTTCCCTCTCGATCTCTTTTTCAGATCAAAGACCTATACGTAGACGAAAAATTCCCGATCAAGTCCGTGATAATACAGAGTAATAACTGCACCTCGCATTTAAATATCACTTTACAACTGTCGTTTTACACCGGAATTCCGTCAGGAAAAACCATTAAAGGGGTGTTTCAGGCTGCACTCAAGGACGGAAAGATTACCAATTTAACAGAAAGTAACACAATCTGCAACATCAAGTTTACTGGTAAGTGAACAAAATAAATAAGTATTAATTAGATCCTCTTGCAGTTGGTCGATTTAAGTTCACTTACTCTTGGGTAATCACTGAATCTGTTTCGGTCAGCCACTGAGAGGTACAAAGTAGGCCTGTCGGTTAAAGCCATTAGAGGAGAGAAGATTCCGTGGAAAATCATTTACGCGACTACTTACAGAGGAATGAATCGAATAGGAAGATGGCGGATGGCCGAGTGGTTTACGGCCATTATCCACTATCTCACGGGAATTGTTTTCGGTAGTCCCAAATTCAAATCCTTAAGGTGGCTGAACACAGTTTTTGATACCTGTGGTTCATTCACCTTTTTCTCTAAAACCCTTGATCCCTCGGTCGTCAAAAACGGCAGCAAGCTAGTTAACAACACAAACGTTGGTTTTTTGATGGTTAAGCTGACGTATGTGCCGTTGCCGTGGCAACATGAATAAATATAAACAGGCCTTTAAAATCGGTT